TATATATATATATATATATATATATATATATATATATATATATATATATATATATATATATATATATATATATATATATATATGTTTTAATTTATGTGATGCATTTTGACTAAACACAAAAATTTTTAAAGATAAATAAAATTTGCGTTTAAAAAATAAGTTCAAAACATTTATTTAATTATAGATTATTTCATTAAAAATAAAAATTAAAAATCACAATAAAATTATGTTAAATATATAAAGATAACATTATTTTTAAAGACAGATTAAAATAAGGTGCATCACATAAATTGATTAGGCAGTATATGAAACTATTGCTAATGGCGCGTGACAGCTATATTCCCCTCGAAACATGAAACCATGTTTGCCACATAAATTGAGGCTGGAGCCCAGTATAAATGATGAAAAATAAAATCTTTCTTTAGAAGCAGAACAAAGTCTTTCGGCTCAATTAATCTTAAGCGGTGCAGTTGTTGGTAAAGCTACCATCTTTACTCTTCTGCTGGTATCAACTGTTCTCTGTTAATCTGTAAGTCCAATTTCCTTATGCTTTCGCTCTTATGTGTGTATACCTATACTCCTATCTCTGCTATAAAGGTTTGATCTGCGAATTAAATAAATATGGGAAAATAGGCCATTTTAGTAAAAGGATTCTTGAATTTATGAGCATAGCTTATATTCAAGGTTTTGTTTTTGATGCTTTTGCAATTCTAAGCTACGAGGTTGTAAGAAGTAGTGGTTTTGTTTATGGTTGTTAATTCAAAGATTAAGTGTTTGATTAGGTTTCTGATTCATCCCTTTTTATGAATGAAATCAGGGGCCAGGGCAGGTGTATTGTAATGGTGTACACACTTGTGTGTTCATTTCTCAGTATTTGTTGGTTTACTTAAGCAGCTCTGAGAGAAAATTGGATATTAGAGGAAGGTGTTTGTGGTTCTTGACATTGTTTTTAGAAACAAAGATGCAAAGAGTAAGGGTATCATCACATCAAGCTCCAGTACACAAGCTGGGGGATTCACAAATGACATTATCCCCAAAGTTTAGGTTAGCTGCAAAGCAATCTGATTTACTTGACCCTTCTCTCGAGTTAGAATTATGGCAAAGGGGAGAACCCCTAATTCCTGGACTTCCAGATGATGTTGCTCTCAATTGCCTCCTTAGGATACCAGTTGATAACCATATGACTTGCAGGGTAGTCTGTAAACGTTGGTATTCGCTTTTTGGCACTAAAGATCGATTCTTTTGTCGAAGGAAAGAGCTTGGATTTCATGATCCTTGGTTTTTTGTATTTGCCTTCCATAAAAGTACTGGGAAAATTCAATGGAATGTCTTTGATCTAAATAACTTTGCTTGGCACACTATCCCTGCTATGCCGTGCAAGGAAAAAGTTTGCCCCGATGGATTCGGTTGTATTGCCTTTCCCCATGAGGGTGTTCTCTATGTTTGTGGTGGAGTAGCTTCTGATGTCGATTGCCCTCTCAATGCGGTGGTGAAATATGAGGTCCGGAAAAACCGTTGGACTGTTATGAAGAAGATGATCACTGCTAGGTCCTTTTTTGCTAGTGGAGTTATTGATGGGATGATTTATGTTGTTGGAGGAAATAGCACAGATCTTTTTGAGCTGAATTCTGCTGAAGTCTTGGATCCTAATAGAGGGATTTGGCGCTCTGTTTCAAATATGGGAACAAAAATGGCTGCATACGACTCTGCAGTTCTTAATGGAAAGCTTTTGGTAACAGAAGGCTGGTTTTGGCCCTTTTATGTTTTTCCTAGGGGCCAGATTTATGACCCTCAAACGGATAATTGGGAGAACATGGCTTCCGGGCTTCGAGAAGGTTGGACTGGTTCCAGTGTTGTGCTCTATGGGCGTCTGTTTGTTGTTTCAGAACATGAACGAACGAAGCTTAAGGTTTATGACTCGGAAACTGATTCATGGGACACTGTTGAAGGACATCCACTGCCAGAGCAGATATGCAAACCTTTTTCTGTAGATTGCTGTGACAACCGGATTGTTGTTGTAGGTCGAAATCTTCATGTTGCTGTAGGACATATCAAGAGCCTGCAGCAAAAGAACACATCAAGCAAACGCTGCTCGTTCGCTGTTTGCTGGCAAGTGGTAGATGCTCCTGAATCCCTTTCTGACTTCACACCATCTAGTGCACAGGTTCTATTTGCTTAGCTTCATAGTTTCTATTAATTAACATGCGTGGAATGTCTAGTAGTCTATCTTATGTATTTCCAACAAGGTCCTGTAATTGAATATAATTAATTATCTATGGGTATTCCTCAGTTTCTGCTCTATTTAGCTGATATATAGTAAATTCTGCTCTCCTGCTCAACCTTTTGTGTCCTTTATAATGTAGTTCTTGATTAATGCTAGTTCACTGAGGTACATAGTCCATTAAACAATGATCTAATTGAACTATATTGATGAGATTAATTACTGGGTTTTCAAATTGTATTAGTATAGGTATCTTACTACTGTATAATATCCATGCTGGCGCAAGAAAATTATTGTTTGAATCCCCCTAAGGAGCACTTCTCTCCTTCACACCTACATTTTTGTACTGGTCTACCTAATTTATTTTTGAATTGGAACTACTCATCTGGAACCTCGTGCTTTTCATCATACCTATTCTTTTTTTCGTCATTTTCATCATACTTCATTTCCAGCTGGTAGTACCTGGTAAATGACCCGAACCAACCCGTCTTATCTTAAAAGAAAAGAGAGGGTGAAGGAGAAAAAGGCTTGTGTTGCACCCATATTATTAAAAAGGGCTGTGTGAAAATGAAGGAATAATTGATAAAAAAAATGTGTACGTGTTGTACACACTACTACCCTTGTATTTTTCATATTATGATTACGATGTTGTCTTTCCTGTTACAGTAGTACATAATTCAATGACCTTAGGCTTCTCGTGGTGTAGTTTTGGTAATTTGTAATGAATATGTGCATTGAAAAGATGAATGATGTTTCCAGCTCGTGCTTCTTCTCTAGTCTAATTTCTCCTACTACTGGCTAGGATCTAATGTTTTTTATAATAAAATCTAAATGGTTGGTGCCAACTATACTTGTTAATTATATTACAATAAATACCAACGTGGCCTATGAGATGATGATTCATAGTGAATGGACATGAAGATGACACTGGTTGTTACATTAGGTTATAGTTACCCAAGTTTGGTTGGCAGACTGGATTTTCCAGATCTTTATAAGAATTAAATATACTCAATCATACTATGATTGCTATTATCTAGAAGAAGCTATCACTTTAGTACAGTTTGCTCTGCTAATGCTGTTAAGAGTGCTTGCTTTGGAAGGGGAAAAAGTTATTCGCTTCTTTGGTCTACAATCATGCTCTTTCTTTTCTTCTTTTTTCATTGACATATTGGAATATGTCAAGTTAGTAATATGCAAATTTTAATTATTGGTAATTTAGTCAAAATACCAAAGGCCAAAATGTCACTTATTATGGATCGGAGGGAGTACAATTTATCATTTATATACGAAATACCCCCTGAGCCCGAATGAGGCCTGGTTTAGATAACAACTCCGAGTTGCTTTGGCTTTGGAGTATCTGATAAAAAACGAAGTCTTTAAAATAATTGAATGTTTCAACCGGACACAATGATGTTTTGCCGAGGGTGGCCTTTTTTCATAGGTTTTAATCATATGCAAGGACCTTACTTTCTACGTACGAACTTGGACGTCTCTGAGCCGTTTTAAGTTGGCTGTAGCATTTCATGTTCCCGCCCTGCCTAATAGGCTCGGTTCCTCCGGGATTCGATAGCCCGAGCTGTCTGAACTTATTATTGGACAACAGTCCCCGACTTGGGGAGGTCCTTGGGCTCTAGGGTTTTGAACCCATTATTTATTCTAAGTAACTTCGCGATAAAATCACCGGTGCAAATGTGAAGTGATGAAATATAGGGGGCAAATTTCTTTCATTACTTTGCATGTAGAGTACATGATTGAACGCACAAAAGCTTTTTGCCATGGCAAGAATGAGCTACACGGACACGGTTCATTTGACCGTTTGACCCTTACAATGAATTCTAATATTCAAGCCTTTGCTTTTAACATCAAATAAAAAATGCCTTCTAAGGATCCCGACTTAGGGCGTAATGGCTCCTCTAATATTCGAGAATGAGCTCGTGAGAGCTCATCGATTCAATAAGGGTGGTCAGTAATCTCGGCTCAGGCCGATCTTCAAAACTAAGGTAGCATATTTTACTGTATGACATTTTTCCGTAAAACCCACTTCAGGAAAAACCGGTCCATGGAAAAACGAGTGCAACACGTGCTTTCAAACCTAGTAGTCAAATTTAACCTCGATCGAATATTTGCATAGATTAGTCCAAAGCATAACAAATTTCAAAGGAAATTGTGTTCGTACCTTAGCAGTAGTACCACTTAAGTGTGCCACATTCCAGTTGCTCGGTAGATGTACATCGTTCCCCGACTCGAGCTTATATGAACCTTTCCTGGTTATACGCAACTCTCTACGGACTTCCCAGTTTGGGCCTAGTTTCCCGTTGTTTGGGTTCTTGGTGTGTAGCGTAACTCTCCTTAATACCAAGTCCCCGACTTGAAAATGTCGAAGGTTAGCCCTTCGGTTGTAGTATCTCCCCATTCGCTGCATTTGGGCCTCTAATCGGACCAGGCCGTCTTCTCGCCTTTCGTCTGATAAGTCCAAGCTCGTGGCCATGGCCTCGTCATTTGACTTCTCGGTAGCGTACTGGAACCTTAGGCTTGGTTCCCCTACTCCGGTCGGGATTAGAGCTTCCACGCCGTAGACTAAAGAGAATGGGTTTGCGCCGGTGCTTGACTTCGAAGTCGTTCAATATTCTCACAAGACCCCGGGCAAAAGTTCTTTCCACTTTCCCTTAGAATCAATCAATCTCTTCTTCAAGTTTTGGAGTATAGTTTTGTTTGTTGACTCTGCTTGACCATTCCCACTAAGGTGGTGAGGTGTTGCCAAGTTCTTTTTAATTTGTGGTCTTCGAGAAGCTTACTTACCTTGCCGCCGATTAATTGTTTCCAGTTGTCGCAATCTATCTCGGCTAGTATCCCGAATCGGCATATTATATGATGCAGATGAAGTCGATGACCTCTTTCTCTCGAACCTTCTCGAACGACTATGCTTCGACCCACTTGGAGAAGTAATCGGTCATGAGTAGTATGTATTGGGCTTTATTAGGTGCCCATGGCAAGGGACCGACAATGTCCATCCCCCATTTCATAAATGGCTATGGCGATAGGACGAGGTGAAGCATTTCCCCTGGTGGATAAATCATCGGGGCGTGCCTTTGGCATTCGTTACATTTTCGGACGAAGTCTTTCTCCTTGGGATCCGATGGTAATTTCTCCTTCTCAAGTAGTCTATGTATTTGTTCCTCCAATCCCAAGTCAAGCTTGTCGAGTTCACCTCGACGTGACCTTCTTCTACCACCGAGTTCATCAATTGTACTACTGATCCGGAGTCGACTGACGACCCTAAATTGGACAACGCATCGGCCTCGTTATTTTGATCCCGAGGTACGTGCTGTAGAGTTCATTCCTTGAATTGGTGTAATGTCACCTACAACTTATCCAAGTATCTCCCCATCCATTCCTCTTTTTCTTCAAACGTCCCATTGACTTAGTTGGTGATAAGGAGGGAGTCACATTTGGCCTCGATCACCTCGGCCCCCAGGCTTTTAGCCAGTTCTAGACCTGCAATGATAGGCTCATATTCGGCTTCGTTGTTAGTCAATTTTACAATTCTAGTAGACTACCTTATTACGTTACCCGTAGGTGGTTTAATACGATTCCTAGCTCGGACCCCTTTGCGTTGGAAGCACCGTCCGAGAATAGTGTCCAGATCCCCGAGCTAGTCCTTAAGGTGAGCGGTAATTCCTTCTCAACCTCGGGGATCAAGACCGGCGTAAAGTCGCTCCGGAAGTCCGCCAAAATTTGAGATTTTATGGTTGTCCGGGGTATGTACTCGATATCGTACCCACTAATTTCTACGGCCCATTTGAGAAGCCGACCCGAGAGCTCGGGTTTGTGCATAACATTCCTCACCGGTACAAAGTTACGACACATATGGGGTGAAACTGAAAGTACGATTTTAATTTCTTAGATGCGCTTAATAAGGTGAGCGCTAATTTTTCTAAGTGTGGGTACCTTGTTTCGGCATCACGTAGGGTTCTACTAATATAATAAATAGGAAATTGCATACCTTCTTCTTTCCGGACCAGGATACCGCTTACCACTACCTCGGAAACTACCAAGTAGTGGTATAGTTGTTTGTCCACCTTTGGAGTTTGCAGCAAGGAGGGCTCGATAGGTATCGTTTGAGTTTTTCTAAATCTTGTTAGCACTCCGGGGTCCAAGAGAAGTCGCTATAATCAGAAAAACCAGTGGCTCTTGTCCGACGACCTCAAAATAAACCGGCCCAACGCGGCTATCCGCCCGGTCAGTCTTTGTACTGCCTTAACGTTGCCAACTACGGTGATATCTTCTATAGCTTTTATCTTGTCCGGGTTGATCTCTATTCCCCGGATGGATACGATAAGCACGAGGAACTTGCCTGAGCTGACCCGGAAAGCACACTTCTCCGGGTTTAGCTTCATGTTATATTTCCTCAATATGTCGAAGGTTTCCTGCAAATGCTTCAAATGGTCCTCTGCTCACAGGGACTTAACCAACATATCATCAATAAACCTCCATTATTTACCTATTTGTTCTTCGAACATCCGGTTAACTAGGCATTGATACGTGGCACCAGCATTTTTCAGCCCAAACGGAATTACGTTATAACAATAGGTGCCAAATTTTGTTATGAAATAATTTTTTTCTCGATCGCCCGGGTCCGTCTGAATTTGGTTGTACCCGGAATAAGCATCAAGAAAACTAAGTATCTCATGTCTTGTCGTTGCATCAATCATTCGATCGATGTTAGGTAAAGGGAATGATTCCTTTGGACACGTTTTTTAGGTCCTTATAATCTACACACATTCTATGTTTGTTTACTTTTTTAGGTACGACTACTACGTTAGCTAACCAATCTGAGTACTTAACTTCCCGGATGGAACCTATTTTCAAAAGTTTAGGTACCTCGTCTTTGATGAATGAGTGTTTGATCTCGGACTGCGGCCTTCTTTTTTGTTTGACCAGGTGGAACTTTGGATCCGGGCTTAATTCGTGAGTTGTCATCTCCGGTGGTATCCCTGTCATATCTAAGTGGGACTAGGCAAAACAATCGACATTAGGTTTAAGAAAATCAATAAGTTTTTTCCTAAGCTCGGGAGTTAATCCCGTGCTCAGGT